ACCCGTAACTCCCCATTCCCTCCTCCCTGTGGCCCCTGGCTACTGTCATTCTACTTTCCGGCTCCAGATTTTACTACTGTAGATCCCTTATGTAAGTGGTATCATACAGTATTTATGTCTTCAGAATTCATCCATGTTGTAGATGTGTCAGAATTTATTTCCTTTTTAAGGCTGACTAATACACCATTGTATGTCTGTACCACATTTTGTTTGTCCTTTCATCTGTTTGGATACACGATATCCATGGACACTTGGATTGTTTCCACTTTTTCACTTTTGTCCCCTCCTTTCTTGATACAGTTAAAGAAGACCCTCCTGGTGGCCTTTCCTCATTGGCAAAAGCTCAGATGATCCTGAATAGTTTTTTTTTTTTGAGATGGAGTTTTGCTTTTGTTACCCAGGCTGGAGTGCCTATGCTGAAGTGCAGTGGCACGATCTTGGTTCACCACAACCTCCGCCTCCTGGGTTCGAGCGATTCTTCTGCCTCAGCCTCCCAAGTAGCTACAATTATAGGCATGCAGCACCACACCCAGCTAACTTTTTGTATTTTTAGTAGAGATAGAGTTTCTCTATGTTGGTCAGGCTGGTCTCGAACTCTTGACCTCAGGTGATCTGCCCGCCTTGGCCTCCCAAAGTGTTGGGATTACAGGCATGAGCCACCATGCCCTGCCGATCCTGAGTTTTTGATTGGGGTCTTTTCTCACCCAGCGTGATCTGCCTGCCTCAGCCTCCCAAAGTGCTGGGATTACAGGAGTGAGCTACCACGGCCGGCTGGAGATTCTTTTAATTGCCAGGCTCTTTGTTGGGTAGCTGTAGCGTGTCTGTGGAATGGAGTCCAGATTTAGCAATTACCAACATTTTGCCAATCTTGTTTTGCCTGCCCCTTTTTTTCCCTGATACATTTAAAAGCAAATTCTAGGCACGGTGGCTCACACCTATAATCCCAGCACTTTGGGAGGCCCAGGCGGGTGGATCACAAGGTCAAGAGATCGAGACCATCCTGGTCAACAAGGTGAAACCCTGTCTCTACTAAAAATACAAAAATTAGCTGGGCATGGTGGTGGGCGGCTGTAGTCCCAGCTACTCGGGAGGCTGAGGCAGGAGAATCACTTGAACCCAGGAGGCAGAGGTTGCGGTGAGCTGAGATCATGCCATTGCACTCCAGCCTGGGTAACAACAGCAAAACTCTGTCTCAAAAAAAAAAAAAAAAAAAAAACAAATTCCAGAAATCATGAAATCATGCCATTTTAACTACAGATCTCAGGTCTAGACTCAGATTTTCCTGACTGCCTCAAAGATGTCTTCTGTAGTTGGCTTTTTTTGGGAGGATGGAGTCTCACTTTGTCACCCAGGCTGGAATGCAGTGGCATGATCTCAGCCACTGTATTCAAGTGAGTGTCCTGCCTCAGCCTCCCAAGTAGCTGGCACTAGAAGTGTGCACCACCATACCCAGCTAATTTTTTGTTTGTTTGTTTTTTGTTTTTTTGAGACAGAGTTTCGCTCTTGTTACCCAGGCTGGAGTGCAATGGCGCGATCTCGGCTCACCGCAACCTCTGCCTCCTGGGTTCAGGCAGTTCTCCTGCCTCAGCCTCCTGAGTAGCTGGGATTACAGGCATGTGCCAGCATGCCCAGCTAATTTTTTGTATTTTTAGTAGAGACGGGGTTTCACCATGTTGATCAGGATGGTCTCGATCTCTTGACCTCGTGATCCACCCGCCTTGGCCTCCCAAAGTGCTGGGATTACAGGCTTGAGCCACCGCGCCCGGCCAATTTTTGTATTTTTAAGAGATGGGTTGGGAGTGGTGGCTCATGCCTGTAATCTTGGCACTTTGGGAAGTCGAGGTGGGCAGAGACCTGAGGTCAGGAATTCAAGACCAGCCTGGCCAACATGGTGAAACCCTGTCTCTACTAAAAATACAAAAATTAGCGGGGTGTGGTGGTGTGTGCCTGTAATCCTAATTACTTGGGAGGCTGAGATAGTAGAATCGCTTGAACCCAGGAGGTGAAGGATGCAGTGAGCCTCACACCACTGGACTCCAGCCTGGGCAACAGAGCAAGACTTCATCTCAAAATAAAAAGGGATTTCACTGTATTGGTCAGGCTAGTCTTGAACTCCTGACCCTCAAGTGATCCATCTGCTTTGCTCTCCCAAAGTTCTGGGATTACAGGTGTGAGCCATGCTGCCTGGTCTAGTTGGTTTGTTTGAATCAAGGTCCAAACAAGGTCCAAGTATCACATTTTCTTGTATGTCTCTTACGTTTCTTATAACAGCTCTGTCTTCCACCCCATTCCCCTCCATTTTACCATTTCATTGATTTGTTGGAGAAATTGGGTTGTCCTGTCCTCTAAACTCTCCCATATTCTGGATTTGGCCAAGTGCATTTTTTTGGTACCATTTAACTTTTTCTTCTTTCTCTAATGTTTTCTGTGAATAAATAATTGCATCTGACAGTGTGATTGGATTTAGGTACTTTTTTAAAGGTACATTTTAAAGTACAGTGGTGTGATCTCGGCTCATTGCAACCTCTGCCTCCCGGGTTCAAGCGATTCTTCTGCCTCAGCCTCCCAAGTAGCTGGGATTACAGGCACACATCACCACGCCTGGCTAATTTTTATATAATATATATAAAAATTTATATTATATAAATAATATACATCTCTGGCCCAGAGATCTAGATTTTATAACATTCTGTCTCTATGAGACCTTTTATTTGTTTGTCTCTCAGAAAGGAAGAGGTATGAAAATAAACTTTGGGCCAGGCATGGTGGCTCATGCCTGTAATCTCAGCAATTTGGGAGGCTGAGGCAGGTGAGTCACTTAAAGTCAGGAGTTCAGTACTAGCCTGGCCAACATGGTGAAGCCCTGTCTCTATTAAAAATACAAAAAGATAGCTTGGAGTGGTAGCACGCACCTGTAATCCCAGATACTCAGGAGGCTGAGGTGGAGGCTGCAGTGAGCTGAGATTGTACCACTGCACTCCAGCCTGGGTGACAGAGCAAGACTCTGTCTCAAAAAGAAAAGAAACTTTGGCCTAGGGTAGTTGGCCAGTCTTATTTCATTAAGTCCTGGGAGTGTCTGTTTAGTAGTAATTTACTCCTGAAAACTTTGTTTCAGTTCTCTGATGTGGTAAGCTAATTTACTTTACTAGTGTGTGATGTCTGCTTGGATGTGAAAATACTGCTTTTCATTCCACTTAACGCATGCAAGAGTTAACTTTCCTTACCAGGCTCCCTCCAGTAGCTGTTGAGAATGGGAGAAGTCCTTCCCTTTGACACATTGCCCCAGACAGATACATTAAACAGAGTAGGAAATGTCTAAAGAAAACTAAAAATCTAGTGGTGCTGAGTGGTGGCACCTGGAATGCGTACACATACATGCTCGCTCCCTGCACACGAGTAGAGATGATTTGGGAAATGTCGTGTGTGTCTTTCCTGGAGACAGGTGTCATAGATCATGGCCCTTCTGGGTTAATCATAGACCTGAGGATGGGTACCTTATATCATTTTCTCTAAATTTGAGTTTCTCTTGTGTGGTTTTCCCAAAATCTCTTTTTACTTATGTTTGAATGGCAAATTTATGGAGCTGAAAAGAAAGGAGCTTTCAGACTTTCTTGGCTTTTTCCTTTCTTTTTGTTTTTAGAGTATTCTAGACCATTTAAAAATTGTATCTGGTAAGCCTAGTAAGAAATGTATTCATTTATATAACTAACACTATAAAATACTCTTGAAAGACCCCCCCCAAATCAGATAGACAGATATACTGTTTTTAGATAGACAATTCTTATAGTGTGTCAATTCTCCTAGAGTTAATTTATAAACTTAATATGGTAAGAAAATACCGTCAGTTTTTTAATATGATCATGTGTCTTTTCTTCCCTCCCTCCCTCCTCCCTCCCTCCCTCCTTCCCTTTTTTCCCTTCCTTCCCTCCCTCCTTCCCTCCCTCCCTCCCTCCTTCCCCCCCCCTCCCCTCCCCTCCCCTCCCCTCCCCTCCCCTCCCCTCCCCTCCCCTCCCCTCCCCTCCCTCCTTCCGTTTTTTTTTTTTTTTTTTTTTTTTTAGACAGAGTTTTGCTCTTGTTGCCCAGGCTGGAGTGCAGTGGTGCCATCTTGGCTCACTACAACATCTGCTTCCTGGGTTCAAGTGATTCTCCTACCTCAGCCTCCCTTATAGCTGGAATTACGGAATTACAGCCGTGTGCCACCACCCTGAGCTAATTTTGTATTTTTAGTAGAGACGGGATTTCTCTTACGTTGGTGAGGCTGGTCTTGAACTTCCGACCTCAGGTAATCCGCCGGCCTCAGCCTCCCAAAGTGCTGGGATTATAGGTGTGATCCACCATGCCCAGCTGTGGTCACAATTTTTACTTCTCTGTTTGTCTAATAATTTTTTATTTGTATATTGGCATCTGGATTATGATCTTGAGTTTTTTTCTAGTGGATAAATTATTGGAAGATCTTTTTGGTCCTTTCAGGCTTGGTTTTATTCTTCAGTGGGGTGGGCCTATTTTGTTTTGCACTTAGCCATAGGGTGTGGCCTTTACTCTAGGCTGTGATTTTACTTGAAGGTGTATGCTTGCGGGGTCTCATGCCCGAGGATGCTTGGTTTCTCCATACTGCCTGGGTTGGAGCTTGAACAGCTCCCAGGACGGCAGTAAAAAGTAAGAGGCGATGTTTACTCTGTTTCTGTTCACTTTTACAGTGGACGTCCTAGCCAGTCTAGTTAAAAGAAAAAGAAGCAAGAGTTGAGGCTGGACTTGGTGGCTAATGCCTCTAATCCCAGCACTTTGGGAGGCTAACGTGGGAGAACCGAATCCCTTCGGGTTGGGATTTCGAGACTGGGCAACATGGTGAGATTCCATCTCTAGTAAGATAAGAAATAAAAACGATACAATTATACAGAATTTTCAGGTTTCTACATGGAAAATCCGGGAGACTTTAGTGAGAGTGAAGTTTCTGAATCACAAAAATGTGATTTCATTTTATTTATTTATTTTTATTTTTATTTTTTTTCAAGTTTCAGTTATTTATTAATCAGTGTAATCACCAATAGATTACATTAACATGATTTCATGCATTTAGAGAAGAAATATTTCCTGGTTCAGTGGAAAATTGTGCGGATGGCTTCTGGAAGACCTTCATTTTAAAGCAGCTTTACATTCCATTTAGAAATCTGGACGTTCTTTCTTCAGTTTGCTGTAATCCACATTCACTGAGTAGAACTTGTATTGATCATTGGGACCCAGTTTGTTCCAGGGCTCTGGGTTATTCTTTTTGTCCCAACAAACATCTGGATTGAACAATGCCAAACGCAAGAGATACAGGGCTGCTCCACCACCTCCAGCTCCAATAAATACAAAGAGGGGGATCAAGCTCGGATGCTTCTTGGCCTGACCTAAGATGTGGCGGAGCATGTTTGCGGCAGAGACCTCAGATTGGAAAGAAGAAAATGAGCCCAGCCACCAGGCCCCGGACTAAGTAGTATCTGCACTCGATTTCATTTTATTTTTATGTATTTTTTTGAGACGGAGTCTTGCTCTGTAGTCCAGGCTGGAGTGTAATGGCATGATCTCACTCACTGCAACCTGCGCCTCCTGGGTTCAAGCAATTCTCCTGCCTCAGCCTCCCAAGTAGCTGGGATTCAGGTGCCCACCACCACACCTAGCTATTTTTTTTTTTTTTTTTAAAGTAGAGACGGGGTTTTACCATGTTGGCCGGGCTGGTCTCAAACTCCTGACCTCAGGTGATCCATCCACCTCAGCCTCCCAAAGTCCTGAGATTACAGGCTTGAGCCACCGTGCTTGGCCAAAAATCTGATTTTAAAAGATGCAGTTTGTGATAGTATACAAAACTGTAGGTAACCTTGGAATGTGTCTAACAAAAACAGTGTTCAAGACCTTTATAGAGAAAATTTCAAAAATTATACACCAGCCTGACCACATGGTGAAACCTCATCTCTACTAAACATACCCAAAAATTAGACGGGTGTGGTGACGCATGCCTGTCATTTCAGCTACTCGGGAGGCTGAGGCAGGAGAATCACTTGAACCCAGAAAGTGGAGGTTGCTGGAGCCACTGCACTCCAGCCTGGGTGACAGAGCGAGACTCCGTCTCAAAAAAAAAAAAAAAAAAAAAACCGGAAAAACACAAAATAAAACTTGAGTAAATGGCAAGATTATGTTAAATCGTTAGGAAGATTCACTCTTTTTTTTTTGAGATGGAATTTTACTCTTCTCCCCCAGCCTGGAGTACAGTTATGTAATCTCAGCTCACTGCAACATCTGCCCCCTGGGTTCAAGGGATCCTCCTGTCTTAGCCTCCTGAATAGCTGGGGTTATAGGCAGGTACGCCCATGCCCAGCTAATTTTTTATTTTTATTTTTTCATAGAGATGGGGTTTTGCCACATTGGCCAGGTTGGTCTTGAACTCTTGACCTCAAGTCATCCAACAGGCATGAGCCACCATGCCAGACCCTAGATTCACTATTTTAACAATATTACTTTCCCCAAGTTTAATCTCTAAATTTGCTGCCGTTTCGCTCACAACCCTAACAGTTGCTTTCATGGAATTTGTGGGGCTGATCCTAAGATCCTAAAACTCACTTGTAAGAATACAGAGTGAAGGGCGAAGAATAACCAAGACAAGTATGTAAAAGAATAAGAAGGGATAAGAGAAACAAAACAAAACCAAACAAAAAAAGGAATTGCCGTAACAGATTTTCAACCTTTTTTTTTTTTTTTGAGATGGAGTTTTTGCTCTTGTTGCCTAGGCTGGAGTGCGGTGGCACGATCACAGCCCACTGCACTTCTGTCTCCTAGTTCAAGCAATTCTCATGCCTCAGCCTCCCTAGTATCTGGGGTTACAGGCACGTGCCACCACATTTGGCTAACTTTTTTGTATTTTTTGGTAGAGACAGGGTTTTACCATGTTGACCAGGCTGGTCTCAAACTCCTGACCTCAGGTGATCTCCCCACCTTGGCCTCCCAAAGTGCCGGGATTATAGGTGTGAGCCACCCCGCCTAGCCCAGATTTTCGAACTTGTTGTGAGGCCGGTGGAATGAATAGCCTGGAAAAGTACCCTATATAAATGGAACTTAGTATATGCCAGAAGTGTCACTATGTATCAATGAGGAAAAAAAATTGCTGTTTAGTAAATACCCTGGGAGATTGACCAGCTTTTTGGGGGGAAAATTGGATTTTGTTTTAGCTCATTTACTAAAATTTCAAGTGGATATCAGATATAAATATGAAAATAAAAATTTAGAAGTTTTAGACATACAGAGTGTCTTTTCTCACAATAGAGGAGGATTTTGTAAAAGTAAGACAAAATGTAAAGGATAAATAAATGACAGTTTTACTACATTAAAATCAAACCCTTCCAGGCCAGATGTGGTGGCATATGTCTAATCCTAGCACTTTTGAGAGGCTGAGGCGGGAGGAATGTTTGAGTCCAGGAGTTTGAGACCAGGCTGGACAACATGATGAAGCCCTATCTTTACAAAAAAAATTAGCTGGCTATGGTGGTGCATGCCTGTAGTCCCAGCTACTGGGGAAGCTGAAGTGTGAGGATCACTTGAGCCCATGAGGCAGAGGTTTCAGTGAGCTGTGCCACTGTACTCCATCCTGGGTGACAGTGAGACCCTGTCTCGAAAACAGACAACAACAAAAAATTAGACACTTAGGTATATCAAAAGGTGCTGTAGATGGAATTAAGACGGAATTGAAAGATAAGCCACAGATTGGAAGAAGATGGTTACCATGCGTATAATCCACAGAGGACTAATAATTAGGCTACATGAGGAATTCTTAAGCAGTAAGTTAGAGCTTACTTAGCAGGAAGAGCTTACTCAGTATAAAAACAGGCAAAGGTATAAACAAATAATTCACAGAAAAAACCTGCATGGCCAATGAACCCATAGAGAGATACTCAGTCTCGGCCGGGTGCAGTGGCTCATGCCTATAATCCCAGCATTTGGGGAGGCCGAGGCGGGTGGATCATGAGGTCAAGAGATCAAGACCATCCTGGTCAACAAGGTGAAACCCCGTCTCTACTAAAAATACAAAAAATTAGCTGGGCATGGTGGCGCATGCCTGTAATCCCAGCTACTCGGGAGGCTGAGGCAGGAGAATTGCCTGAACCCAGGAGGCGGAGGTTGCGGTGAGCCGAGATTACGCCATTGCACTCCAGCCTGGGTAACAAGAGCGAAACTCCATCTCAAAAAAAAAAAAAAAAAAAAAAAATAGAGAAAGATACTCAGTCTCACTAATCATGGTGGTAATGCAGATTATAGTGAGAATTCTACTTCATTTCATCAAAATAACAAAAGTGAAAAAGTCTAAGAAAAGGCAGTTTGGGGCAACAGGAATACTTTACAAATTGATTTAGTTAGTAAAGCACTTTGGAGAATAATTGGGTAGTATCTACTGCAGTTGAAAGTCCCCTGTGACTCGGCAAATAAAAGCTGAGGAACACACTGTGCAAAGGAGACGTTCCAAACACTCAGGCTGGGTGTGGTGACTCAAGCCTGTAATCCCAGCGCTCTGGGAGGCTAAGGCTGGCAGATCGCTTGAGCTCAGGAGTTCAGGACCAGTCTGGGCAACATAATAAACCTTGTCTCCAACGAAAATACAAAAAATTAGCTTGGTGTGGTGGCCTGTACCTGTGGTCCCAGCTTGAGGCAGGAGGATCCCTTGACCCTGGGAGTTGGAGGTTGCAGTGAGCTGAGATGTGCCACTGCATGCCAGCCTGGGTGACAGAGGGAGACCTTATCTTAAAGAAAGGCTGGGTGCAGTGGCTTGCGCCTGTAATCCCAGCACTTTGGGAGACCGAGGAGGGTCGATCAAAAGTCGAGATCAGGACCATCCTGGCCAACGTGGTAAAACCCTGTCTCTACTAAAAATACAAAAAATTAGCCAGACATGTTGGCATGAGCCTGTAGTCCTAGCTACTTGGGAGGCTGAGGTAACCCCAGAGGCAGAGATTGCAGTGAGCCAAGATTGCACCAACTTAGCCTGGCGAGAGTGAGACCCCATCTCAAAAAAAAAAAAAGGAGAGAACGAGAGAAAGAAAATAAAATATTTAGGCAACCTGCAAGAATAGTATCTTTGGCATTTAAAATGAAGGCATTAAACTATGTATGTCAACATAGATAATTTTAAGATTGAGCTTTAAAATATTTTTAAAGCAGTGTACTATTTTTAGATATAGAAGTAGTAAAAGAATGAAATTATGGATACTGCAAGTTACTGATTGTCTCCAAAGAAGGGGGTTGAGTTGCTGGGTTCCTTAGTGTCTTAGAAACATTTGTTTAAGAAGAAGGCATATACAAACAAATGTTAACATTTATTAAATCTCATCACATGGATATTATACTCTTCTCTAGACTTTAACATGTTTTAATGATTTGTAATTAAAAATATTTAAAACTGAGTTATAATTAATCCTCTAAAAGGTATAAACAGTCTTGTGAGAGCACTGAGGAAGGACTCAGAAAGTTGACAAAGGCTGTAGATGAACTTCAGATAGGAAGATCAGGCAGGAGTTTGCCAAATAGAGACAGTGGGAAGAGGGCGGTCCAGGCAGAGGAACTGCGTGTGTAAAGGTGTTAGCTGGGAGAGGCCAGTACGGAATATACACAGAGAGCGTATTCGATAGTGAGTGTTGGTGTGGTTGCAGAATCGGTAGGGATGAGGAGAGAGAACCAAAGTTATACCGTGTGGAGGTCTCACTTCATGTGTCTCTGCATAGAGGCTTCCAGGCGAAGTACACTGTATTTATTCCCTGTTTGTCTTTTTCTGGCTTCCTTTGGGTTAAGGATGTTTTCATGTGTGATGGTATTACAAGGTGGGGCATTACAAAAAAATTTTCTTAACGATTCTCTCTGGGTCTTTGTATATCTTCCATGTCCCTACTTAATCTTTCCTTTAGGGTTTTGAACGTATGAGATACATTTATAGCAACCATTTAAATGCCCTTGTCAATTATTTATTTGTTTGTTTTTTAGAGATGGGGCCCTGCTTGATTTGTCACTCAGGCTGGATTGCAGTGGTGCGGTCCTTCTCATTGCAGCCTCAGGTGCTTCTCCCACCTCGCCTCCTGAGCTGCTGGGGTTACAGGCATGAGCCCGTGTACCAGCACTATCTATGAATTCATCTGTGTCATTTCTGGGTGGGTTTTGTGTTGTTTCTTCTCATTGTTCCCTTGCATGCCTAGTACTTTTTGATCAGATGCTCAGACATTGTAAATTTTATCTTGTTGAATACTGAGCATTTTTGTGTTCCTGTAAATATATTCTTGACCTTTGTTCTGGCATGAGGTTCAATTACTTGTAAACAGTTTGATTCTGATGGGTCTTGCATTTAACCTTTGTTAGGTGGAACCCGAGTAATTTTCAGTCTAGGGCTAATTTTGCTCCACCACTGAGGCAAATGTCTTCTGAGCATTATGTCTGAAGCCTTGTGAATTTCGAGGTTTTCCTCTGTGACTGGCAGTAAAAGGAAGTATCCTGGGCTCTGTGTGAGCTTTGAAGATTGTTCCCACTCATCTTTTTTTTTGAAATGGAGTCTTGCTCTGTTGCTGATGCTGGAGTGCAGTGGTGTAATCTTGACTTACTGCAACCTCCTCCTCCCGGGTTCAAGTGATATTCTTGCCTCAGCCTCCCAAGTAGCTGGGATTATAGGTATTCGCCACCACACCCAGCTAATTTTTCTGTTTTTAGTAGAAACAGGGTTTCAGCATATTGGCCAGGCTGGTCTCTAACTCCTGACCTCAGGTGATACACCTGCCTTGGCCTCCCAAAGTACTGGGATTATGGGCGTGAGGCACCGCGCCCAGCCCCTCTCTTCTCTCTCTCTCTTTTTTTTTTTTGTTGATGGAGTCTTGCTCTGTTGCTCAGGCTGGAGTGCAGTGGTGCTGTCTTGGCTCACTGCAACCTCTGCCTCCTGGGTTCAAGTGATTCTCCTGCCTCAGCCTCCCTAGTAGCTGGGACTACAGGCCCATGCCACCATTCCTGGCTAATTTTTTATATTTTTAGTAGATACAGGATTTCATTGTGTTAGCCAGGATGGTCTTGAACTCCTGATCTCGTGATCCACCTGCCTTGGCCTCCCAGAGTGCTGGGATTACAGGTGTGAGCCACTGTGCCCAGCCCCTCTCATTTTTGAGTGATGCCTTCCCTGGCTCGGATACCTTCCTTACACATGTGCACTGTTGAGGGCTCGGCTAGAGAGGAGACCAGACAGGAGGTGTCCTCTGTAGATCTTCAGCATTTGCTGTGAGCTCTGCCCTCTCTGGTGTTCTGCCTGTGAACTCTAGCTACCTTGGACTGTCTGGACTCCCAGCTTTGTTTTTCGTCAGGAGACTACCAGCCTCTACCTGGTTCTTCCTTGGGCTGTGGCCTGGCTTTTCAGGCAGAAGCTGGACAATCACAGGGCTCCCTCCTGTCATTTGTTTCCCTTTTTTTTTCTTTTTACAAAGATGAGGTTTCACTATGATGGCCAGGCTAGTTTTGAACTCCTGACCTCAGGTGATCCACCCACCTCGTCCTCCCAAAGTGCTAGGATTACAGGCGTGAGCCACCACTCCCAGCTTGTTTCCCTTCTTTCAGGGGTCTTGAAAACCATTGCTTCCCTATGTCGTCTTTTTTTTTTTTTCAGTTGTTGAAGATGGGAAGGTAAATCTGGTCTGTTGTTCCATTTTGACCATAAGCAAAAGTATAAAAAAACAGGTTTTTTAAATGAAAGCTTAAGTTTGTGTAGAAGTATTCATGGCGACCTAGCAGAATGCTGACCCACTTTCTGGTTGGGATGCCTGGATAGGAGAGCAGAGGCAGCTTTTTCCTGGGTAGACATCAAAGAATTTGGTGTATTTAGGGAAGTTGTTGGGGATAGGACTTGGAAGAAGTTTCCCGAGAAAAATCAAGAGCTATGTGCTAAGAAGAAAGCGATTGAAGACTCTCCCCTCCTGAGACAGAGTCTTGGCGAAAGAAGGCTTATACCCTGCAGTAGGAGAGTGTAGGAGGCTGCGATGTTGCCAGGGGAGCGGAGAGCGGAGGATGGTGGTGGACGCTTAGGTTGTGCCTGTTAAGAAGTGGTCCTGGAGCTGCCCGTCCCTCTCCTACGCTGTCATAGTTGCCATTCAAGGCACACAGTTCAGTAGATGAAGAAGGGAGGGAAGGACCGTTGCTTCCAGCAATATTATGCTCTTACTAGGCTCTCCCATTCCTGTCCAATTAGATGCTGGATAAATTACAATCAATATAATTTCTTTTTTTTTTTTTTGAGACGGAGTTTCGCTGTTGTTACCCAGACTGGAGTGCAATGGCGTGATCTCGGCTCACCGCAACCTCTGCCTTCTGGGTTCAGGCAATTCTGCCTCAGCCTCCCGAGTAGCTGGGATTACAGGCGCGCACCACCATGCCCAGCTAAGTTTTTTATTTTTAGTAGAGACGGGGTTTCACCTTGTTAACCAGGATGGTCTCGCTCTCTTGACCTCGTGATCCACCCGCCGCGGCCTCCCAGAGTGCTGGAATTATAGGCGTGAGCCACCACGCCCGGCAATTTCTTTATTTTTGTTTTTTTTGGAGACAGGATCTCACTTTGTCACCCAGGCTGGGGTGCATGAGTGTGATCATAGCTCACCACCACAAAGTGGGAAGCAATCCTCCCACTTCAGTGCTTAGTAGCTGAGACTGCAGGCATGCATCACCACACCTGGCTAATGCTGGTGCTGTTTAGGGACACAGACACCCACCCATTCCTCCTCCAGCTGACACTGAGTAGAATTTGTTAAGAAGATGTGTGCTACGAAATCATTGACTCAAGATTAGAATAAACAGGCACCGGGTCAACATCATAAAAACATTATTTTGAAACTGTGTATAAAGTTTTAGAAAAGTGGGCTGAACAGTCCATTTTGAGTTATTTAGCTTAATAATTTTAATCGGCCAGGTGCAGTGGCTCACGCCTGTAATCCCAGCACTTTGGGAGGCCAAGGCGGGCGGATCACGAGGTCGAGAGATCGAGACCATCCTGGTTAACATGGTGAAACCCCGTCTCTACTAAAAATACAAAAACTAGCTGGGCATGATGGCGCGTGCCTGTAGTCCCAGCTACTCGGGAGGCTGAGGCAGGAGAATTGCCTGAGCCCAGGAGGCGGAGGTTGCGGCAAGCGGAGATCGCGCCATTGCACTCCAGCCTGGGTAACAAGAGCGAACCTCCGTCTTAAAAAAAAAAAAAAAATTATATCTTAATACATCATTTTGGCTGGGCGCGGTGGCGCATGCCTGTAATTGCAGCTCTTTGGGAGGCCAAGGCGGGCAGATCATAAGGTCAGGAGATTGAGACCATCCTGGCTAACATGGTGAAACTCCATCTCTACTAAAAATTCAAAAAATGAGCCGGGTGTGTTGGCAGGCGCTTGTAGTCCCAGCTACTCGGGAGGCTGAGGCAGAGAATTGCTTGAACCCAGGCAGCAGAGGTTGCAGTGAGCTGAGATCGCGCCACTGCACTGCAGCCTGGGCGACAGAGCGAGACCCCGTCTCAAAAAACAAAAACATATATATATATATGTTTTTCTGTTTTTCCTGAATATATACACACACACACTATACATATATACACATACATATACGTATATATATATATATACGTGTGTGTACATATATATGCACGTATATATATATACGTGTGTGTACATATATATATACATATATGTAAATATAAAAACTTTTATGAAAAAATATGTAATTTCAACTGTCATGTTTGCTAGTTATGAAATCAAAGAGAAACTTTATATTCAAGGGACAGATGATAAATGCTCTTCCATTGCTTTATTTTAAAAAATTTATAATAATTACTGTTTTTTTGAGATGGGGTTAGTCTCTGGTCATCCGGGCTGGAGTACAGTGGCATGATCTCAGCTCACTGCAACCTCTGCCTTTCGGCTCAAGTGATCCCACCTCAGCCTCTGAAGTAGCTGAGAATACAGGCGTGCACCACCATACCCGGCTAATTTTCTTATTTTTTGGAGAAGTGGGGTTTTTCCGTGTTGCCCAAGCTGATCTTGAACTCTTGGACTGAAGCGATCTGCCGCCTTGGCCCCCCAAAGTGCTGGGATTACAGGCGTGAGCCACTGCGTCCAGCCTCCTTTTTCCTTCTGCCTACCATTTTGATAAGTTAACTTTACAAAGAAAGACCTTAAAATAAGATTTTTCCTCTTGTATTTCAGGTAAAGAGTTTATACATCTTCGACTGAATGAAAAAAATTTTTCTTAAAGCTGCATATACTCCAAGAAAAAATCCACAAATGTTTTTCTGTTTTGCCTGAATACATGATCTAAACAAGAGATTTCCGCAGAAGGTAAGATAAGTTTCTTTTTCAGTTTGATTCTGTTTTATTGTGTAATTTATACAAAAGTACTGTATAGGTGGAAGTTCAAAGTTGGGTGACAGCAAAAAATGTAGTTTAGAAGATGTGCTTATGGTCTGTTGTCTTTTGGTGATTTTTGATCCTCCTGTGTCTGGTTATGAGATTCTCTGTGTGTCTTTGAGCAAGTTACTTGGTGTCTCCAAGCCAAAGTTTAATTCTTACAAAATGTAGACAGTCTTGCACATATGTGATGGGGTATGTGTTCTCCCTCACTTGCAGGGAACATGTGAGATGCAGCCTGTACACTGTCACAGTTGCCATTCAGGGCACACAGTTATGTAGAAAATGAAAAAGGGAGGGAAGGACCTCTGCTTCCAGCAATAGTAGATGCTCTTGCGAGGCTCTCCCATTGCAGTTCAGTTAGATGCTGAATCAATATGATAAATAGAATTTCTTTACTTTTTATTTTTTCTGGAGTCAAGGTCTCACTTTGTCATCCAGGCTGGAGTCTAGTGGTGTGATCATAGCTCACCATAACCATGTGTACCTAGGCCGAAAGGATCCTCCTACTTCAGTCTCCTGAGTAGCTGGGACTCCAGGCATGCGCCACCATGGCTAATTAAAAAAAAATTTTTTTTAAGGTGGGGTTTCATTGTGTTACCAAGACTGATCTTGAACTCCTAGGCTCGAGTGATCCTCCCACCTTGGCCTCCCAAAGTGACGAGATTATAGGCATGAGTTAACCATGCTTGGCCAGATGTAATTTTTTTTTTTTTTTTGAGACACAGTCTCGCTCTGTGGCCCAGGCTGGAGTGCAGTGGCACGATCTCGGCTTACCACAACCTCCGCCTCCTGGGTTGAAGTGATTCTCCTGCTTCAGCTTCCTGAGTAGCTGGGAGGAGTTCAAGATCATCCTGGCCAACATGGCGAAATCCCATCTCTACTAAAAATACAAAAAAAAAATTAGCCAGGTGTGGTGGTGCGTGCCTGTAATCCCAGCTACTCGGGAAGCTGAGGCAGGAGAATCACTTGAACCCCGGAGGTGGAGGAACAAAAGGCACCACCACCAAAACTGAGTATATGGCTTAAACAGATGAAACGCAGGTGAAGATGGAGTTAGAGAAGTGAAATGTAGTGGAAGGCATTGTCCAAAGTGCAGCCCCAGGAGATCAGTGATGGTTGGCGGTAGTAACCGTAATAATAATAATTCAGTGTGTATGCGTTTAATAAAAAATACATAGAGTGAAGTGAAAATCAGTGAACCAGAAAACAGGTCAGAAGGAATTACCCAGAATGAAACACAGAGAAAATGATGGGAAATAGAGACTAGAACATGGGGCATCAAGGGGAAATGTCTAATGTACGTTTACTAATGTTCTGTAAGGAGAAAAGAGAGAATGGGACAGATTTATTATTATGAATTATAAAGATTAAAATTTCCCAGAATTGGTGAAGTCTGAAGACAAATGAATGGATAAATAAAAGAAACGTTAAATAAAAAGAAAATTTATAGCTAGGCAAAGGAGAGAAAACTACAAAGCACCAAAGGCAAAGAGGGATCTTAAAATAAACCTGAAGAATAAGACAGATTCAACTTCATCTGAGCAGTGGTAAGACTGATGGCTGACTTCTTTAGTGCAGCAGCGGAAACCAGAAGCCAGTGGGGTAATATTGTGCTGAAAGGGAAACAATTCCTCACTTCTATCTTTATATCAGGAAAAGTTATCTTTCAAAAAAATTATCTGCTATAGGCCAGTCGTGGTGGCTCATGCCTGTAATCCCAGCACTTTGGGAGGCCGAGGCAGGTGGGTCACCTGAGGTTGGGAGTTTGAGACCAGCCTGGCGGCCAACATGGAGAAACTCTGTCTCTACTAAAAATACAAAATTAGCCAGGCTTGGTGGCACATGCCCTTAATCCCAGCTACTCAGGGGGCTGACGCAGGAGAATCGCTTGAACCCGGGAGGGCTGACGCAGGAGAATCGCTTGAACCCGGGAGGCAGAGATTGTAGTGAGCCGAGATCACACCATTGCACTCCAGCCTGGGCCACGAGAGCGAAACTCCATCTCAAAAAAAAAAAATTATCTGCTATAGTTGAATATTTGTGTCCCTCCAAAATTCATACTGAAACTTAATCCCCAATGCAGTAGTTTTAAGATGTGGGGCCTCCCACGCTGATCAACATAGTGAAACCCCATCTCTACCCAAAAAAAAAATTATCTGGGTATGGTGGGGCATGCCTGTAGACCCACCTACTTGGGTGGCTGAGGCAGGAGGATCACTTGAGCCCAGGAGATTGAGATTGCAGTGAGCTGTGATTGCGCCACTGCACTCCTGCCTGGGTGACAGAGTTAAACCCTGTTCCAATTAAATTAAAAAAAAAAAGTGAGGCCTTTAGAAGATGATTAGGTCATGAGAGCTCCACTCTCATGAATGGGATTAGTACCTATAGAAAGGCTTGAGGGAGTCTGTTAGTCCCTTTTGCCATGTTGAGGACACAGTGGAGCCACCATCTATGAAAATTAGGTCCTCATCACACACCAAATCTGCTGCTGCCTTGGTTTTGGATTTCCCATCCCCCAGGGCTATGAGAAATAATCTTCTGTTGTTTATAAATTACCCAGACTAAGCTATTTTGTTGTAGCTGCAGAAACACAGTCCTTTACTAAATATAATTCTTAAGGATAATCCCAGCACTTTGAGAAGCTGAGAACGGTAAATTGCTTGAGACCAGCTTGGGCCACATGGTGAAACCCCATGTCTACAAAAAAATACAAATTAGCTGTGGTATGAGCAGTGGTGCGTGCCTGTAGTCCCAGTTACTTGGGAGGCTAAGGTGGGAGGATCACTTGAACCCAGAGGTGGAGGTTGTAGTAAGTTAAGATCACACCACTGCACTCCAGCCTGGGTAACAGAGCGAGACCCTGTCTCAAAATAAAATAAAAAAGAATGAGCTTTAGGCAGAGAACAGTGATCCTAAATGGAAGAACTGAGATTCAAAAAAGAGTGCCAAGCAAATATGTGAGCAAATTTAAATTAACATGGACTGGGTGCAGTGGCTCCTGCCTGTATTCCAGCACTGTGGAAAGATCACTTGAGCCCAGGAGTTTGAGACCAGCCTAGGCCAATAGGGAGACCTTGTCTCTACAAATAATAAAATAAAATAAAAATGGTGGCACATGCCTGTGGTCCAGGATACTTAGGAGGCTGAGATGGGAGGATCACTTGAGCCCTGCAAGTTGAGACTGTGTGATCATGCCACCATACTCCAGCCTGGGTGGCAGCCTGAGTCCTGGTCTCCTCCAGAAAACCCCATTAATTGTTTAGTAATATAAGAATATCTATGGGGGTAAAATCAAGATAGCATTGCATAATACATGAAAATATTAACATATAAGTCGTGAAGGAGAGTAAAGGAAGTTAATACATTCCAGTCTTTGTAGTAGTGTCTTAGTCCATTTGTGTTGCTGTAAAGGAATACCAGAGGCTGTGGAATTTAAGGAAAAGAGGTGTCTTTGACTCACAGTTCTGGTTCTGGTAAGAATTTCAGGCTGCTTCCACTCATGGCGGACGTTCAAGGGGACTCAGAGGGAAGCTAGCTCGTAGAGACCCTGTGGTGACAGAGGAAGAGAAAGAGAAGATGCCAGGCGTTTTTCCAACAGCCAGTTCTCTTGGGAACTGGAAGTGATTACTGGCCGAGTGTGGTGGCTCACCCCTGTAATCCCAGCACGTCGGGAAGGCGAGGCAGGTGGATCACCTCAGGTCAGGAGTTCAAGACTAGCCTGGTCAACATTGTGAAACCCCACCTCTACTGAAAATACAAAAATTAGCTGGGCCTGGTGGCAAGTGCCTGTAATCCCAGCTACTCAGCAGGCTGAGGCAGGAGAATTGCTTGAACTTGGGAGGCAGATGTTGCAGTGAGCTGAGATTGCACCATTGTACTCCAGGCTGTGAACAAGAGCGAAACTGTGTCTCAGGAAAAAAAAAAAAGAGTGAAAACTGAAGTTACGCCCTCAAGAATGTCACGAAACCATTCACGAGGGATCTGCCCCCACAACTGAACCACCTCCTACCAGGTCCCACCTCAACACTGGGCATCAAGGTTTAACATGAGGTGAGACTTGGGGCCAGAGAAACCATATCTAAGGCCGGGTGCGGTGGCTCACGCCTGTAATCCCAGCACTTTGGGAGGCCAAGGTGGGTGGATCACCTGAGGTTGAGAGTTCAAGACCAGCCTGACCAACCTGGAGGAAACAACATCTCTTTAAAAAAAAAGAAAAAGAAGCAAAAAGAAACCAAATCTAAACCACAGCAAACTAGGGTAGGGGTTAACTATAGTTTTCCTAAGTGTGCAGTTTACAAGTTCTAAGGAATTATTGTAAGAATAGAAACTGTGTACAATTTCCAAATTAATGAAGAGAAAGTAATAGAACTTCCTTTATTCTTGTAAGGAAAAGTTGCAGAAATTGTTTAGCAGCCATTATCTAAATGGTACTATTAATATATTGAAAACCTGTGAAAGTGGAAAGAAGACAGGCTCATGCTTTTACCGCTTGAAGATGGTGACAAGTGTTAGTGAGCCCAATCAGAAAGAGATGATAAAAAGATAAAAGAATTTCTTTTTTTTTTTTTTGAGATGAAATCTTGCTCTGTAGCCTAGCCTAGAGTGCAGTGGTGTGATCTTGGCTCACCGCAACCTCCGCCTCCTGGGTTCAAGTGATTCTCCTGCTTCAGCCTCCTGAGTAGCTGGGATTACAGGCGCATGCCACCATGCCTGGCTAATTTTTGTGTTTTTGGTAGAGACTATGTTGCTCAGGCCGGTTTCAAACTCCTGACCTTGTGATCTGCCCGCCTCAGCCTCCCAAATTGCTGGGATTACAGGCGTGAGCCACCATGCCCAGCCAAAAGATAACAAAATTTAAAGGAAGAAATAAAGTATTATTCATGGATGACACTATTATATATGTAGAAAGTTCAAAGTGATCCAAAGCT